TCGAAAGAGAGCAGTGTATGAAAAAAGCAGAAACAACAAGGATTTATTTTTCTAATGAAAAGCAATAAGTATCGTATCATTTCACTCAGTCAACTCAATGACTATGACATATCTAGGATGTTTTTATGGTAAAGAAGGTTTAGTTGTTAGTATTTGACCGCCAACCAAATTATACTTTATAATAATCACAGTTATACGGTATACAAAGTGGAAATTAATTCATAGACATGGTTCATCATTTGCCCTCAAAAATATGATATTATTTTTTTCACTTCATTTGGCAGCACATACGTAAATTCTTTGTTATTTTCTTTCTTTCTTTTTTTTTCCATGAAAAACAATAGCGAATAAATTAATCAGTTGGAAAAGAAAGAACAGTGGCAAAACAAAATTATTTAATAACAATGATAATTGCTTATTGGCATTGAATAAAAAAAACAACAAATAACTGCGTACAATCTAACCATTGCATATGTTTGTTGTAAAAAAAGTTAAGGTTAATATTAGTTCTAAATCATGTGTAAATAATGATTTTATGTGTTAGTTTTGTACAATCAAGCGATTAGTTGTGATAGATTCAATTTGTTGCATTTTGTTGAGATAAAATATTTTTTATTATTCCATCAGAACAATATGCACAAATTTTCGTTCGTTTATAACAGAAAAAGAAAGAAAAGAAAAACAACAAGAGGACGACAAATTGTACATACTATGATATATTAGTTGTTTTGATTGCTCGATTATTGTTCGTAACACCATTTATCATATATATCAAACAGGATCCGATAATAAACACGGTACAGTTTGCAGCTTTAGATGAGTGTATGTGCGTGTGTGTGTGTGTGTGTGTGTGTGTGTAGAGTATAGTTGATCAAAGAAGATTTATGAAGATATTAACCGTCCTGATTTGTAAGCATCTGCCATATGCCACTCCGCCCTACTGTCAAAATAGGATCTCGGCTGCTACTACTGTAGCAAAATTGTATACCTATAAAAATAATTTAGTTTTTGAACATCGCTTACCTATCATTCTGTTTTAGAACAGAATTAACATATGATAAAAGATTTTTTTTTCTTAACTACTAGTTTTTATCTTATCACTAAAACAGAGACAAATAGATTCGAATAGATCCTATATATAATCGTCAGTTAAAAGAGATGCAAAAGATTATCACATAAAATACATACACAGTTTGTCCTTCGAGAAAAAGTTTTTACAAGATTTTCGTTATGGATGGATACCAAGTGTTGAAAACCAAATCCAGTCTTTATTCACTTGAGAATATAAACAAGTATTATACTCTTGAGCGAACATATTGATAGTTTTATTCAAAAATAAAGTTAATCTCAATGTATTGATAAGATAAAAATCCCTTGAGGTAATAAACATTGAAAAAAAGATGTTCTAGAAGTATATGATTATCATTATCTATTAGTTTTTGTTTAACGAGATATTTCTACAAAATATTCATTTTAGATATAAAATGATAGTAATAATAATAATAATCAATAGAAAATAATAAAGTTAAGTATTTAATATACGTTGATGAGAAGAGACAAAAAAAATGGCACAAAACAAAAAAGAGAAGATTTTAATATTTTTTTATTTTTATTTTTTATTTTATTTTGAACGTAGTTTCGAAATCAGAATAATTCTTTCAAGATGACATTTTACTATAATGGTCTTTAGCAAATTGTTCGCCCTTTTCTATTAAAAAAAAGAAAGAAAAGAAGAACGCCAAAAAATACTCATATTGAGATTGACACATTGTTTTTGTTTCAGTCAGTTAGCACATAGTTTGTTATTATAATGCTACTGTTATTCAATCAGTATATAGTATCAATAAGCCTAACGATGTTTGTACATCATCTTATTTGAGTTTTTTTCTTTATTGTAATACGAGAATATATTTATTTTTATGATTTGATATTTTTTCTTTTCTTAACAATGATGACAGATGAATACATTGCGTGTAGCAATTAACAAAAACAAAAACACAGATATCGTGTAAAATAATTTTGTTTTTGATTGAAAATTACTGTTACACTACTGTATGAATATAGATGATCATTTAAAATAGTACTATATTTTAATATGTTAGTTCTATTCTAACTCTAGAGTTGAAACTAACAACTTTGTATATATCCTACTGTGGAGAGAATTTAATATAATTTGTTCAGGTTTTGTTGTGAGTATGTAACATTAGCGTATTTTCAATCTTTCATTTTGATATACATCATTTGTAATAACAAAAAAAAGTTTCAATGGAGAAATATCAGTAAAACTATCATTAACGAATTATTGATCGCCTAACAATCTTAGTTTTAAAGTTAGATTTTTCTTTTCTATATTTTGTCGTTGTAACTAAATACAAAAAACTTCAGTCATTATTATTAATGTACATCCATACATTAATTCCATGTCTTTCGTTATATGATGAGAAATTCAGTATGCTCTTCTAATATTCTAAATACCAATATTTTTATCAAAATTCTATTAGTATTATTGATTTAGATTTGAAAGACTATTGATAATGTCTAAAATATCTAATTCAGATTAACTTTAATTTTCACGCGATTTTTGATTTCAATATCAAAGAAAAAAATAATAATTAGATATATCATATAAAATGATGAGTAGAAGCCGAACATTTGAAATTAAACAGAAAGTATACTGTTTCTTTCATTTTATTTCAATAGCATTTTACCAACATCTATCAAGAGAATTGGTAAAAAATATATTTAAATAGCACTCTCTAACATTTGTTCTAAAAATGATCCATGTTGTTATCACTCAATAATCACTGTTAGTAAGTTTGTTGAGTATTCAGTTTCAACGATATGTCAGAATTGTACACGTAGAATGTTGGTGGGCGTGTACTCCTAACAATTTTCATTCAGAGTATATTTCACAATAAGTTTTTAACAGTAAATTGAGTACATCAGATCTCTGTGTGATCTAGACTATCTGTTTTAAGTGCATAGAAAAGGTCGACTGTACTCAAAATTTTGAGTTTATATGGAGTTCTATTAAACGTTCAAAGGTTTGAAAACAGCATTTTAGTCATCATCCACGAATTTCGATCTTCTTGTGAAACTCGACTTGAATAATTATATTTACTTTTTTTAATTTTACAATCGGTTTTTGTAGTTACTAGAGACTCAGACAGAATTCATTTCTGAAAGAATGATAAGAAGATACCACGACCGATTTCGACCTTTCTCAAGGGTCTCGTCAGGTGGTTTCCTTCGAGAAAGACAGAATTAAGACACGACAAGCAACACAACTCCATCATACCGTATGAGTTCTTTTCAGTTATACTAAACATATTCTCATCTTTTGTTCACCTTGTTGACAAATGTGGAAGTAGAAGCCTGATGGATATCAAAATTTGACAATAAATAGATAATCGAAAAAGAAAATCAATGTATTTCTGACATGTTCTTCTATGCGTATTCAGAAGATTTCTGCTTCCTTCCATCCAGTAGCATTAAGACTTCTAGAAAACCCCAAATTTTATCAAAGAACTTATCTTCGATTCTAAATGTATTTTAAGGTAGGTTTTCCTTCCCGAAATACAGGAAAAAATACATTTAGAATCGAAGATAAGTTCTTTGATAAAAATTTCGGTTCGATCTTCCCGTTTTCTAGAAGTCTTAATACTATTGGATAGAAGGAAGCAGAAATTTTCTGAATACTCATAGAAGAACATGCCAAAAATACATTGGTTTTCTGTTTCGATTATTTATTTATTATGAAATTTTGATATCCATTAGGCCTCTACTTCGATAAATACAGATTATATCTTCAAATTATTTATTCCTTACAAATTTCTATGATCTATCTAGGAATTTATCAATGAATAAATCGTAATAGAAATTTATCATATTATTCAAGAAACGATTTTAAATATCATTTAATATCTCCATTATAGAATTCATTTCAAAAGTTATATTTATGTTCATCAATAAATCTAGAGTACCGATTAATCTTAAGCTTTAGAGAGAGAAAGACATTTTTTTTACTGGATGTATCTTGTAGTTGGATGAAATTAATAGTCATAAAATATCATTTGTAAAATTTTTAATCTTAAGTAAGTATTGGCAATCAATGATCAATGATTTAAAATTAAGTCTACATTTATTTATTCTATGATCCTTCAATTCTATATTTCCTTCTTTTTCTGTATTTTTTCCTCTCTCTCTCTATATATATATGTGTCAAAAAAAAAAAAAAAAAAGGCACAGATAGATTTTTATGCGCAAATAGGAGGAGGTAACTAGATTTCTTCTCTTTATTTCCAGACATAGTGTATCGTACGTTTTATTTTCCTTGACTATTCTTCAAAAATCGATCTATAGAATCGCTACTAAAAAAAAATTTTCAACTACTTTAAGTCATGTTTAATTAGCTCGTATAACGAGTGATATAAAATCTACTGGGATTTAGACAAAAATCAAAAAAAACAAAAAAAAAAAGACATAAACAACAGCATAAAAAAACAAAAAAGAAAAAAAAATCCAACCGTCAAATAAGTATTTATATACATATAATATATATATATATACAACTATATTGTCTGTTATATTCCTAAAAATAAAAACGAGGATTTATGATATATATAAATGCAAAAAATAAAATCGTTTAGTGTATGAGCGGTGGATCGTTTGATAAAAGATAAAGGTAAAAAAAATTTTCAATTAAAAAAATAAATTATATTAGATGAAAATTGATGAAAAATGACAGATTTAGTTCGTCATTAATACTATTTATAGATTATAGAATGTTATCAAATAGGCATAGAGTAAAAATTGTAGAAGAATCATATGATGTACATAAAACTAAAGAAGAAAAAGAAATTTAATAAAATAGTCTATTTACTTTCAATTTTGATTTTCTTTATCTATAAGAAGAAATAATGTTGTTTAATTATTTTATTTAGGAAAAAAAAAACACAAAAAAACAATTAATCTAATAAATAACTTGAACGATAATCAGTATGGGTATGAAAATGGCGAAAAACTCACGACTTGATCCCGAAGTACTTGAACGACTTATGCAACAAACGGGATTAGAACGAGAAGTAATTATTGCGTGGAGGTAAACTCTTTTTTTTTTTTGATCAGATTACCTTGAAGATTGACTGACTATTCATTATCATTTACATGATTCTCTTCTCAAACATTGATAACACTATTATTCATATTTTATAGGAAACAATTTTTGTTAGCATGTCCAAGTGGAAAAATGGGACGTAAAGATTTTTATAAATTTTATCGTACTTTACGTGTTGAATCAGATGAGAAGGTGAAAGAAATTGCTAATTTTGTATTTACAGCATTTGATCGTGATTCAAATGGAAAAATTGATTTTACAGAATTTTTAGGTAAGTTTTTTTTTTAACTGTAGATTATACTAATAATAATTTTTAATTTAATACAGATAAAAGAGTGTTTTTTAATTAATAATCTATTCTTATGTTTTTGTTTTTAGGCGGTTATGCGATTACATCTTTGGGCGATACGAGAGCAAAATTAGAATATGTATTTGCATTATACGATAAAGATAAAAGCAATTCAATTGATCGAAAAGAAATGATACGTGTTATAAGTGCTATGTATGATCTTTTGGGTAAAAGTAAAAGTGAATATCCTCCAGAAAAATGTGTTGAAGATGTATTTTCTCTAATCGATGTAAATAATGATAAAACATTAACAAAAGAGGAATTTATTGATGGTATTATGAGAAATCCATATTTAACAGATATTATATCGCCATTTAACGAATAATAAAGTCATAGAATTGTACAAAAATTTTTGTTTTTAAAATGTTATTTAATATATAATTCACAAAACATAAACAAGAATGAAGTAATTTACGCTTTTTAAATAAACAGTCAATATTTCGTCAATAAAAACCGGTGCATTTCATTTTATATATAAAAATTTCATAGCACATACAACAATTTGAGAATTTCTGAAGAAAACAAATCGATTATTACTGTCAATTATTTTTTTTCTTTGAAGAATATCATATTTAAAATTGATGTCTAATATTTTCTTCTTTTTCTTTTTTTTTATATTACCGTCTAATATTGTGTATATCATTGAATTTAATTTTTTTTAATTGAACTTGATTATTGTACAATAATTTTATTTTCGCTAAATTTCTTTTTATTTGTGAATATATTGTTTCTTATTTGCCATATGTTTTTACATATTGTATATCAATATCTAAAACATGTTTTTAAGTGACAGAATTTTTGGTGAATATTGTTGCCTGTTTGAAACTCAATAACTCTAACTTATCATATAGTTTGATTGACTGATAGACTAATGTATAAACATCCGCTATAAGTGAAATAATCTTTTATACTTCTACATATCATATTTCAATACCGTACAATTTCCTTCATATTTTGAAAAATTACATATATATACAACGTCGTTTTACAACAAATGTCTCTTTTTTCTTTTCTTTTCTTTTTTTTCGTCTTCAACTATACAAAATTTTAAAAGTTACAGATATTCTTAACTTTCTCCGATGGAATAGATATTGTTACATAAAAATGCCCGTTTTTTGTTTTTCTTCTTCTTCTTCATCCTATTATCAGCAGGGAAGATTTGATCTGAAAGAAAAATAAATTTTTTTAGTTTAAAATAAACAAATTAGTATCACTATGGGAGAGTAATTACATTAATTAATAGCATACCAATAAATTTCATGGTAATAAACTCCATGGTATAATTAAACATACATCTGGAGTTTTTCTTTATGTCAAAAGAAAAACGAACAGTTTCCTCTTACATGTCTCAATAAGAAAAGTTTTCTTTTCTCCAACAAGCATCACGAATATATAATTAAATAAATATTTTCATTTCACTTCTTGTATATTATTTTCTTTTTATTCTCATTAAAATATCTTCTCTTTGTTCATGTGAGAAAGTAGTTACGAAAATCTATTTATAATTTTATGTGTAGACGTAAAACAATGTCTTTTTAGATCACAACGATCGTTCGTCTATATCATAGATTAACAGATGTATATTAGAAAAATCAATTTGTGTCCGTCTTTTAGCTTTATTACTGTTGTGTTTTGTAGTAGGTGTATAGTATAAATAATATTTGATATAAATAACTTGAAAATAAGTACACCCGGGTACAAAGAAACTCATATCGGTTTCAAAAGTACATGCGGTTAGAAAGTTCAACACACGGATGTGATTATAAAAACATTGTTAATATTTGTAGGTAAGAAAACAAATGACGAAAAAGAAAGACAAAGAGTGTAAAGAAAACAAGAAATTGAGATTTCATTTAAGCTAAAATAGTCAAAAAAAAATCTATCTCAAAATTAATGTTAAATGAAAACTTTTCTATATGAAAATGAATAGGTAATTATTTGTTGTTTTTTAAAAAAAAATAAATATTCTGAGACATATACGGGTATACAGGAGCGTATAAGAGTATACGCTTATATGACAGATTCGAATTAATTTTTGGGTCTAGTAACTAAATTTTGTTATCATTGTTTACTATTTGACATTAATTTTATTTCTGAAATAAGATAAAATAAGAACGAGAACAAACACACATTGCTTTTGAAGTAGATTATATTTGTCTTTGAAATAAGATAAAGATGGTCTTTTTTTTATTTTTTTTTATTCACTATATAATATTTTGTATGGGAACTACAGGTGAGAATTTATTGTATTATTTTTATGACGTATTATTTATTTTTATTTTTGACATTAATCAATCACAAATTTTTATTAATAGTTTATTAAAAATATACACGTTCCAAATAAACAAAACTTTAATCTTTTAAAAACACTTATCTTTCAATGTATGAACAATGTAAGTATGCTAAAGAATAATAATATTTAATATTTTAATGTTCAAGTTTAATATTCGAAAATAGCTAAGAAAAAGAAGAAAGTACCGATTATTGTTTGATCTTTTGAATAATACAGCATAGTAATCAAATTAGTTTATTGAAAAAATTGGAAATGTTTAATATAGAAAATGATAAAATAAATACTATTGGACTGACATCAATGTATAGACACATTGCATAAAACGCAAAAAAAAAAGAAAAAAATAATAATAAAAAAGATAAAACTTAAAATTAAATATTTTGTCACATATCATTTCAAGATAAGACAATATTTTAAAGTTAGTTAAGCAAAATAATGAATAGAGCAGTACTTTGCATCTATCATGAAATATTTTGAAACTAACATCAGAACAATCCAGTTCATTACTTAATGTTTTAGGTAGTAAGAAGCAAATACTTTGTATTGTGTTATTTCTTGGTTTGATTAGTCTTATTATTGTCTATGTCAGTAATCCAATCAGTTTTACAAGTTTTCCGTCACTTAATACTGAAACAGAGACAAATTCTTGCACAATTGTCACCTATAAACAATTAGATGAATGGTTTCATTCTACAAATAATAACAAAAGCAGAAAAACAATAACAAAAATAATTCATCAAAGTTGGAAAACGGAAATATTGCGTGGAAAACAAGCATTATGGTCTAAAACATGGTGTGAACAATATCCAAAATGGCACTATCGATTATGGACTGATGTTGATAATGATCAATTTGTGAAAGACAAATTTCCATGGTTTTATTTGACTTATCAAGAATTATATCCAACTATACTTAAAGCCGATAGTGTAAGATATTTGTATATGTTATATTATGGCGGAATGTATATTGATTTAGATTATGAATCAGTAAAATCATTAGAACATATAATTTTTGATAAACAACTGGTATTCGCTCTACTCAATTATAATTTTGATTCATTGAATAGTATACCAAATTCATGGTTTGCATCTAAACCAAAACATTCCTTATGGTCATATGTTATTTTTAGAATAATGTTAAAATGGACAAAAATTGATAGTGAAAAAACAGGTTTTTGGAATGGTAAAGCTGAGTTTTACACAGGACCACAAGCGTTGTTCGAAGGTCTATTGTTTTATATGCAGTACATAGAACAAACGTCAGATAATTTTAATAATCGTTTAATACACTCAAATGAAAATCGAACAATGAGCATAGGTGATATTACATTTTTACCACCGAACTTCTTAAATGCTTACGATTGGATGACAGGTATAGGACAAGACTATTGTTCATCAGAGAAATATTCATTTAATCCAACAAAATGTAAGGAACTACTAAAACCTATTTATGGTATTACCTACTGGGCGCATTCATATGGACACGGACATGAGAACGATACGAACTATTTGAGACACTAGTGGAAAAGGATCATCAAGCTTTAGATATGCCACGTTTGTCCACCATAAACTTCGTTTGTTAAGTGTTACAAAGTCTATGAATCATGAAGAAGTATTCACTGGAAGAAATATTAGAAAGGTTATAGTTTTATTTTAACAATAACCGACAAAGCAAGATCTCGATCAGTAGAAGAGGAGAGGGAGTGGCTGGTGAACAATAAAAATATTCTTATTTCGCAGTACGTCGTTGATGAAAACAATGCTCAATGCTGTGAGATTGGTGCATAGTAGACATACATGCAGACATGTAGCAAAAGAATGTAAATACTTGGTTTTCTTAATTTCTTTTATATGACAATAAGGTATTCAGGGACAACTTTCCTAGTAAATAGAGGTGTTTTTTATTTCAATTGGAGTAACAGGAAAACTCAGGATAGAAAAAAAGGCTAAAAAACGATATCAATGATAAAGTTTCAGTTTTTGTTTGCACTTTAAATGAAGTCTAAGATTTAAAAGGATTTTAAGGTCAACGCTCGATGTTTCTGCGACATTTCTGACCGGAAATAATTGACTTTTATATTAATGCCATATATAGGGTGGGCCAGAAGTCCTGAAACACTTTTCGACTAAATTCTTATCCATATTGACTTGCGGTTAAAAATTTAATATTTAGCTCAAGAGATGAGAAAACAGATCAAAGATTTTGTTTTGAAATTATTTTCGAAATTTCAGCAGAATATTCACCATATTGAAATATTCAAATTTTCTAAAACGGCACAGAATAAACTTAACTTCTTTAGCAAAGTGTTGCTGATCTCTCAATTCAACTTACAGATAATTATTTTAACGTCAAAAGATGCGGAATTTTATGTTGTACAATCTGACACTATCTGTGTTAAATGATTATTCTTTTTTGCGAGAAAAAAGCCCTAAATTGATTGACTGACTTACGTAGAAAATCCATATTATCGGCATTTCGCCCTCAGACTAAAAAAACAGTCATGTATTTTATATCAGAAGATGCAGAATTTCTCACTTTACAAGAACACATACACCAGAAAACAAAATTCTAGATTTAATTTTAAAAGTATAAAATAATATTAGATGCTACTAAAGATGGATTCTCCTAAACTCCTTTGAAACTTTCATCAGAAACTCTTTCGAGAGCCACCTTGACTTAGGAGGATTTTGTTTTGTCACATGAAGTATGGAACTTTTTATAGAATTTCGCGCTGAATTTAATGGTGTATTGTGTTTTGATTAATAAATCTTTTTTTAGTCAGATACGCTATGAAAAACTTCAATTAGATAGGTGAAGGTGTTTAACTTCATTACAGAAGTGATTTTAAAAAAATTAAATATTTTTGAAAATAGCATCGCTAATTATAGACCCACCATTGAGTGAAAATATTCTCTTTTGCGTTAAAATTCACAAAAAATGATAGAAAAGAGTCAGATGAACAACTCTTTTACTTAGAGTAGATCGGAAAACGGCTTCTGAAAGTTTACGAAGATTATGCTCCGTGTTTTACATGCCCCATGTGAAATTGTATCAAAAAATGACTGTTTCTTTCCTCTTATGTAATTTTTCAACAACTGATTAAAGTAGGAAAAGCGATCTCAACTTGTCAAAGACTTGGTTAGAAAGTGTTCAAAATTTTCAAATATGAGCTAATGGGTGGTGGATAATTTTCTATTTCCGCCTTCGCCCCTCCGCCTCCGTTATTTAGTAATTTTCTGCCACTAGAAATTCCGCCAAAATTTTAGTAAATTTTGGTGTCCACCCAAAATATAAAATTTATTTGTTTTAAATCATTTCTGACTTAGAAAAATAGCATTTTTATGATCCTACAAAATTAGAAAAACATACTAATACGAGAAAAAGTTGGTTCAAGCTTGAATAATCATAATTATACAAGAAAATGTGTATATATATAAATGCGTATAAGAAAAAACAACTACAGGTATTAGCTAAACCAGGCTATTTTGTTGTTTTCACTTGTACAGATAATGTCTTATCTGTTAAAAATTCACTCTCTCCAGGAAAGGTAACAACAACTCAATGGAAAGCATTAGTTACATATCTGTACCATCCTTATCCCTCAATTCATTTATACCCTACGCAACAACAATCTTCTGCTAGCAATAACTGTTCACTATTCGCAATAGCGATATTAGCTGAGGTCAAAGATATTGACAACAAGTATAACATTTGACGAAAATAAATTACGATCACATATACTTTTGTGTTTAGAACAGAATGAAATAAAACCCTATCCAAAAAACAAGTAAAAATTGTAAAACGATACCAGGAATAGCATATTTTATGTCAATAGAGCGAATTGTTACGATGATGCCAAATCTTTGTCAATCATTTCGATATATGAATATGTTGATTATATTTTTTTCTATTTCTTCATCAAAAAGTGATCTCATTGTTCATTGATTGTGTTCATCTATGCTAATGGTAAATTTGTTTTTTTTACGTTGTTCAAGGATTCATTTTTCAGAGATAATTTCTCAAATGATCTAACTAATACTATAAAAGCTTACATTCTAAAAATTTATCCGAACTTGAACATATAAATTAATAAAATTTTGTTAGCGATGTCGAGATTTTTATTAATAAATAAATTTCTCCAAAATTTATCTCGGTCACTGGAAAACTGACAAAATGCTTGTATAACCAAAAGAAAAAACATTGATTAATATAAATTGATAAAATAAGACTAATATCGTTGTTGTCTTGCATGAGTAGGCTTTACGAAAAATGTTTCTTGATTTATTTAAGAACCGGAATAGGAAACAACAACATCTTATCGAATGAACAGTTAGACACTCGTCAGTTACTCTCAACAATATCATGATTTACAAAAATCAGTAGAATACTGTTCAATATTAGAAAAATATTCAGCTGTAACAGTACTCCGCAAAAGTAGCGGATCCCTATAAGTCAAGAACCATGATAGTTACGGACTTCTAATTTTGTGTAGTCATACCTCTCACTAGATGCTGATCACCTCACCACTATGAGCCTCTTTTTCACGGTGGTTCGTGAGATATTTATTGTTTCATTTTTTTTCCCGTAAAATCCTGATAACTCTTGATTCAAGCGAAATGAAAACTTTCTTTTTGTGGAAATATAGTCCTGATTCCTATGTCTACAATATGAATTTAAAGAGGAAGCTGTTAATGATTACCGAAAGACAAGTATTTTACGATCGAGGTGCTTGAAAATAGGGCCTTCAAATATGAGGTCCCACAGAACGAGCATCCACTGCCTACGAGGTAGGCCGAGGATGTTGAACCAACGAGGGAACCTCGTGAGGTGATATTTCGCTTTTTGATGGAAATCTAGTGGGTTATAGGTTATCGACCATGTTGATTCCGAATATGGCCAAGGGGTTTGCCCAATGCCCTTCAAAGATCCGGTCTTCTTAAAAATCAGTTTTTCAGAAAATCGAGAAAATAAACCAAACCTTTCTTAACCATACAAGATTGTAGCCCGCAAATTTCGGATTAAACTGAGACATCCCTCAGCTCTACACGATCTTTCTTTACAAACTTATAGAATTTATAAGAAGAGCCCTAAATTGTTCATTGTTAGCTCAAAGCTACAGAAATAATTAATTTAAGACTCTTAATTCTATAACTTTGTAAAGAAAGGTCGTGTAGAGCTGAGGGATGTCTCATTTTAATCCGAAATTTGCGGGCTACAATCCTGTATGGTTAAGAAAGGTTTGAATTATTTTCTAGAGTTTCTGAAAAACTGGTTTTCCAGAAGACCGAATCTTTGAAGGGCATTGGGCAACTCCCATGGTCATATTCGGAATCAACATGGCCGATAATCTATAACCCATGGGTGAAAGCTTTTCAAGTGAAATATCACCTCACGAGGTTCCCTCGTAAGAGTCGCCCTTTCTACTGCAGAATCTGCATTCAATGTACATCATAATCATAAAAACTCATGACGAAAAACATGGGTGAAGCTTTACCAGGAAGAATACATGCTCACTTTTCACGAAGAGAAAGTTTTCGGTAAAATGTTTTGTTCGAAAAGTTAGTTTCAAGTATGTCATTTAATTCAGTTTCGTCTGAGTGCAACCTGCCTAGGGTCGAGTCATAGGAGAACGCAATACCTTCTTGCTATATTATTTGTGCGAAAACTACAAACTCACTCTGTTGGTAGTGTAGTTTTGCTGATACATCTCCGATTCACAAACGGTACTGATACAACATTTTTTTTACACGGTAACGTCTGTACAAGCACTCTGGTCTGCTGTTCATCTGACACCTGATATTCATTTCAGCTCAGCGAAACTGTTTTTAACAAAATTTGGAGGTGGTGCAGTGAAGAAAATAGATTTAAGTAAGAAATATAGCACTGCGACAAAATGCATGTTCAAGTTATCACTTAAAACACTACTCGAGCTTTCGACCTTTATTCAAGGGTC